TGGTCAGAATGTGTATATTAGAACTGAGAACAGACCACCTGCCTCACCGCTGGTGGGATGGTTTGGACACAAGTTTTGGGGGTCCTGCAACTCCGTGCCTCCACCACCGGAGCGTGGAAGCCGTGTGCATCTACAGTCCGTATTCCCCCTGCCCTCCCATGGTGTGCTGCAGCTGTGAACGAGCCAGGCCCCAAGGGCAAGAGGGCCCCAGCCCAGAGCTCCTGGCCCGTTTCCAGGGTGCCTGTACATTTTCTTTGGCACCCTGGGTGTTGGGTTATCTGGCCTGGGGGGGCAGGTACGAGGGAGCACCGGGTGAAACCCCGTCTCTACTAAAAATACACACACACAAAAATAGCTGGGCATACAGGGGGCGCCTGTAATCCCAGCTACTCGGGAGGCTGAGGCAGGAGAATTGCTTGAATCCGGGAGGCGGAGGTTGCAGTGAGCCGAGACGGTGCCACTGCACCCCAGCCTGGGCAACAAGAGTGAAACTCCATTTCAACAACAACAACAAAAAAGAATGCAAAGGACCTTCAGGGCTATTTGTCAACTCCTTCACTTCATGTAGAAAAAGAGGGAGGGTGGCCCACTGTCCCAGTTTGCCCAGGATAGAGGGATTTCCTGGGATGTGAGACTTTCAGCGCTAAAACTGATACTACCGGCAGGCAGGTGACTGAACATCTTCACTCTGTAAATACCAAATGCCTCAAAATGGCAGAACCATATTTGGAAGGCTGACTTTATAAAACCAGATAAGAACCACCACTCTCGTGTCCTAGGAACTGTCCACGGCAAACCCTCTTCCCATCACCTAGTACCCTCTGCTACGGCCAACCACCCGGGCGGCATCCATGCCCGTCAGCTCAGCCCGTGGGTCAGAGAGGCTGGATCTGCCCTTAGGCGACATCGGTCAGCAGGGCCCTGACTCAGGTGCGTCACAGGATTTCCCACTGCCCCCTATTCAAGCAAGTAAAAGTCCCCTTGCAGACCAGGTTCAGAAGGTCTCCTAATGTCACACACGCACAAATAACCTCTCACCAGGGGAAGCCAGCCTCATCATGGGCAGAGGGGCTTGGGAGGTCCAATTATGGGGCAAGGAGGGAAGGGGATTTTCAGGAATTAAGAATGCAAAGTGGCCAGGTGCGGTGGCTCACACCTGTAATCCCAGCACTTTGGGAGGCCAAGGCAGGCAGATCACCTGAGGTCAAGAGTTCGAGACCAGCCTGACCAATAAGGTGAAACCCCGTCTCTACTAAAAATACACACACACAAAAATAGCTGGGCATACAGGGGGCGCCTGTAATCCCAGCTACTCGGGAGGCTGAGGCAGGAGAATTGCTTGAATCCGGGAGGCGGAGGTTGCAGTGAGCCGAGACGGTGCCACTGCACCCCAGCCTGGGCAACAAGAGTGAAACTCCATTTCAACAACAACAACAAAAAAGAATGCAAAGGACCTTCAGGGCTATTTGTCAACTCCTTCACTTCATGTAGAAAAAGAGGGAGGGTGGCCCACTGTCCCAGTTTGCCCAGGATAGAGGGATTTCCTGGGATGTGAGACTTTCAGCGCTAAAACTGATACTACTGGCAGGCAGGTGACTGAACATCTTCACTCTGTAAATACCAAATGCCTCAAAATGGCAGAACCATATTTGGAAGGCTGACTTTATAAAACCAGATAAGAACCACCACTCTCGTGTCCTAGGAACTGTCCACGGTAAACCCTCTTCCCATCACCTAGTACCCTCTGCTACGGCCAACCACCCGGGCGGCATCCATGCCCGTCAGCTCAGCCCGTGGGTCAGAGAGGCTGGATCTGCCCTTAGGCGACATCGGTCAGCAGGGCCCTGACTCAGGTGCGTCACAGGATTTCCCACTGCCCCCTATTCAAGCAAGTAAAAGTCCCCCCCTCCCCAGCTTCACCCGCACAGGGTCACATTAGACATCCTTGGCACAAACGTGGCTGGCGGTTAAAGTGAAAGAGGATGTGGCTGTCACACGTGCAGTGCCCCCGGGAAAGGTGAAACCTCTGAGCCTGGATCCCAGGGGGCCAGGAGGAAGAAATCCCAAGTAAGACCAAGAGGACCCCTTCCGAGGGACAGCTCCTGTGCAGATTCTTCCATCCTTGTAGCTTGTGGAGTCAAGGACCTCCCAGGAGAATAGAAGCTCCAAGGGGGAAGCTTCCACAAAGCGGGGTGAGGAAGAAGCGCCAACTTGCTGCAAATAAGCTGCCAGGCCTGTATATATACAATTCTCCTCCAAAGTTCAAACCTGAAAATAAACTGAGGGCGGGGGCAGACGCATGAGTGGAGCCCAGGGAGTTGGTGTGAGGGAAGAAAGGCAAAGACCCAGACACTACATTACGGTTACCACATCCCACTGGGATGTCAGCCTGCCGGGTGGGACTTGCGGTAGTGAGGCCCCCTGAAGGGCCAGAAAAAGCAAGATGGGCCTGGGCCACGGCAGCAGGGACAGGGATGGGAAGGGAGAAAGGGCGCCATAAGCTCTGCCCCTTGCCCCCTCTTCCCACACCATAAGCTCCACCCCCATCCTTCTTCTCACACCATAAGCTCCACCCCATCCTTCTTCTCACACCATAAGCCCCACCCCCATCCTTCTTCTCACACCATAAGCTCCACCCCATATCCTTCTTCTCACACCATAAGCCCCACCCCATCCTTCTTCTCACACCATAAGCCCCACCCCCATCCTTCTTCTCACACCATAAGCTCCACCCCATCCTTCTTCTCACACCATAAGCTCCACCCCCATCCTTCTTCTCACACCATAAGCCCCACCCTATCCCTCTTTCCACACGATAAGCTGTGCCCCTCATCCCTCTTCCCAAACTGTAAGCTCCACCCTCATCCTTCTTCCCACACCATAAGCTCTGCCCCTCATCCCTCTTCCCACACCGTAAGCTCTGCCCCCATCTCTCTACCCACACTACCCCTGAAATTGAGCAGGAACTCTTAGATGGGAAATCTTTATTTGGAAAATTAGATCCAGCAGTCCAGAGGGGTGAAGAGCCCTGTGTAAAATTCTACAACCCGAGGGCATCCGAGTGTGCCTGTGTGCAACTGACAATCCAACAGAACTGTCCTCCGCCCAGGACACTCTCACATCCTGAAGACACTCAGGCTGCCCCACGTCTGTGGAAAATAGCTTGGGCTGGCCCCATCAGGGGAGGCCTCTCATCTGTCCCTCTCCAGCTGGGCTGGCCTCAGCTCCACAGCAAAAGCTTTGGCCTGTTTCCACAGGGGGTTCCCCACTGTACCAGGAAGAGGATGCAGGCAGGAAGCGAAGGTGAAGGGAACCCCACTCCCAACGGGAGGAAAAGGCAAGGTCACGGGTCCAGGCAGTGTCCGGGAGGCCCAGGACCAAGTAACCACACTGCTTTGCTTCCACCAGCTCCTGTCCAGTGAGGGGCTGTGTCCCACCCACAAACTCCCATGGAGGTCACAGAAGAGAGCTGAGAAGGAAGGTGAGAAGAGGCAGCAGACTCTGCACAAATTTAATCTCCCCAGGAGTCCCAGAGCTGCTGCGGACTCCGAGGAAAGGAGGAAATGCTAAAGCATCGCCCAGGCTCTCAAAAACCCACCTTTCTCTCTGGGCAGGAAGACCCAATGCCTGGAAGTGCAAGCTTTGTTTCTGCATTAACACTTGCAGCCACCCTCCACAGAAGCGCTCCATCTGGCAGCCCTCAGCAAACCTATGGGTCTGTTTGCCTGGGATCACGCCAGGTCAACTGCAGCCGCAGAACACTGTCTGTCTTTGCTAATTCTGCCTTCGGAGAAGGTACCTCATGGTTACTACTCCCGCGTAAGCCCTCCCTCCACTGGGGCCCCGGATAAGCACTTAACATAGTCAGTCTCCAGTCCTATACACCAAGCTTGTCCAACCCATGGTCCACAGGCTGGGACAACTTTAGACACAGCCCAACACAAACTTGTAAGCTTTCTGAAAACATGATGAGGTTTTTTTTTTTTTTTTTTTTTGCGATTTTTTTTTAGCTCATCAGCTATCATTAGTGTTAGTGTACTTAATGTGTGACCCAAGACATTCCTTCTTCTTCCAATGTGGCCCAGGGAAGCCAAAAGATTGGACACCCCTGTTACTAACAGTGCAGACACATGCAGCCTCTCCCGCAGGATGGTGGATTTTCTAACGGCAACGCTCAGTTCTTCTTGCCCCAGAGCACACAGTAGGTGTTCAGGAGGTAGCTGCCGAACGAATGGACCCCCCAGCCCTCCAGCCAGCCTTTTTTCTGCAGTTTCCTGGCCCTCATCCCTGCATTCCACAGACATGACCTGGGGATGGATTCTACATACAGGAAGTATCTGAACCAAGAGCATATGCTGCCCCATTTGACTCCGCCAAGAATTCGGGGCTGCAGGAGCACCATCGTGGTAGCTTTTTAGAGCCTTCCTCTGTGATCACGAGTTTCACTCAGGAGAAGCACGTGAGAAAACCACACTCCAGGGAGACTCAGGAGGGGAGCAGGTGGTGTTTACACCAACTACTCTGCTCCTCCGCCTTGCAATCAGCCAGGAGAATCTGCCACTGTGTCCACAGCTGAGAAAAAAATGGCCAGATCAGTTAAGTGCTCTGCGGGTCTGTGGTCAGGCTACAAAAAGGCTACAGCTGCAGCAGTTCGGGGTGTTACGCTATTTTGTTTTCCTGATGACCATTTTTCACCACAGCTTGTTCAGAAAGGGAGGCAGAAGAAGCTGCGTCTCCATGTTAGATGAGATCATCGTACATACGGGAGCAGCATTTATTTAACAGGTTTCCGGAGCCTACTAGAGTTACACGTTTTAGGCAAAATGCCCTTAGAAATAAACTGGACTATTTCCTATCCACAATCCCCATCAGCTTCAGAACAGTCTCCGCTTCTAAGTCTTTTCTAAAGGCCTCAGAAGAGGGATCAGCTGTTCTTTCTGTTACCGTCTTTTCACTGAATGCTCTTAAAGGGTGTAAAGACGGCTTGAGTCCGGGAATTACAAAAGATAAAGGTTTAACCCATCTTTTCAACAAGCACTCAACACAAGGTGAGTTTCTGGAGTTCCACTGAGGAAACTGCATCTGTGCACCCTCTCTGCGGCCTTTACGGGCAGCGAGTGAGCCATAGCCTGCCCCAGTGGAGGCCCCAGAACTCCAGACCGGCTCCTCACACCATCTCCCAGCTCTGCTTCCAGGCTGCTTTCTCCTCCACCTGACAGGTGGGAGGTTCAAGTTCAGCCCCCAGCACTGCCCCACAAACCTGTGCTCAGGAGGCTTCTGATAAGCCTGGAAGGACGGGCTCCATTTTCCCCACGCAAGCAGAGTAGACGTGACCAGTTCTCCAACTGTCCTACTGGAGTAGCCACTCTACCTCATCCTTCCAGCTCTCCTGCCTGAAGTCGGGCCCATGGGATGGGATGCACTTTGGGTAGAAGGATCGGTAGGCAGCCACCGCCTTGCAGAAGGAGACAGACGTCCACCTGATTCAATACCTTTCACATACACGGGTGCCTGGTGGGTACTCGCAGAAGCTGCTAGGCTGAGAACTATGTTCTGTGCTCGGACACTGTATTGGTCGGGGTTCTCCAGAGAAACAGAACCAGTAGGCCAGTAGGGCATACAGACACACAGACAGACAGATAAATAATTATAAGGACTTGGCTTATGCAATTATAGAGGCTGAGAAGTTCCAAGATCGGCAGCCAGCAAGCTGGAGACCCAGGAGAACCCACGGTATAGGCTGGCAGGCTCGAGACCCAGGAACAGTCAATGTTTGAGTCCAAAGGCAGGGAAAAAACAAACAAACAAACAATGACCCAGCTCAAAGGCAGTCATGCAGGAGGAACTCCCTCTTACTTGAGAGGGTCAGTCCTTGGCTCCATTCGGGCCTTCAACCGATTAGATGAGGCCCACCTTCCTCAAGGAGGGCCATCCACTTTGCTCAGTTTATTGATTTAAATGTTGAATTTTATCACAGGAACACTCAGAATGATGACTGACTAAATATCTGAGCATCCTACGGCCTAGTCAAGTTGGCATATAAAATTAATCATCATCTTTCTTATTCTGTATAATAATGGGGGATGGAGAGAGAGTAGAGAGATGTTCATTTTGCCCATAGAGTTGCAAATTTCATTTCCACTTTGTCCTAAGACTCTCCAGAAGACAGGTAAAGAGACTGCAGCAATGTCTGCAAAGCAACTGTGCTTCCCAGTACACCCCTCTCCCTAACCCACAAGTATGGAAGGTGTCAGTGAAACATTTGGCTGCGAGCAACCCAAGAGCTGGACCCCTGCCTTGGTTGGGTATAGAACCCAGTGCCCACCACAGTCCTGACACAGAGATAGGTCTGTTTAGGTCTGTTAGGTCTATACACTCTAGTATAGGTCTGTTTAATGAATAAATAAATGCATGAACAAAAAACAATTGAATGATCGCTGCCATCTTTAAATCCACTCAGCGGCTGTCAATGGAACACAAGCATCAAATCAGAACTGCAAAGGATCAAAAACGAAGCTGCAAAAACACTGTACCAAAGTCAGCCAGCCTCGAGGAAACAGCATGTCTCTGGACTTCTGAAAGCAAATTCCCCACATTCATAAACACAGCTCGCATCTGTCCTCACCCAAGAGCTGCAGGCCCTTTTCTCTCCTGAGGCACCTATTTGATTCCACCAACCCCCAGGGACTTGGTGTCCTCCTCTGTGACTCCCCAATGTAAGGGCCCCACGCCTCCTGTCCCACCTCTTGGAAGAGTCAGCCCAGGGCTCAAACTCCCCTGACAAATTTACCAGCCACTGCACCTCTCTTTTTTTTTTTTTTCAGGCTATAAATAAGAATGACCTTTTTGTGGGTCACACATTTGTTGCTGAAGTCTTCCTGTGGGCTGGGAAAAGAGTCAAAACCATGAATCTTGAATATTCTCCCTGGGAAAAGCTCAGAACCCCGAGCAGCGAGCAGCGTCTCTGCAGACAGCTGTGTCCCGATGCCCCATTTCCGGGCCCTGCCAGAAGGTTGACACTATGGAGGTTGTGCTCCGTGATGCCCAGGGCTTCTGTGAATGGCTAAACTGCATTTTTTTCTTCCGTTTTTAAAGAGCTTGCCTCTCTCTGGAGCTTCCACCCTCTTCCTTCATCCCTAGAAAAACAGATCTATTTTTGGCAGGTACATACACTGAGCCAGATTCTCACGCTGCACGGAGGCAGGGGAGTGCACGGGAAGCAGCCTGGGGAAGGGGAGAGAGTGCAGGGAGGGGACTCCTCGCCCTTGACTGCATGCAAGTTGAACTGCGTGCTACTTGGAGTCAAGCCTTCTGAGTGAGCGCTGAATACAATTCATGATGCTGAGGTTCCCATGGCCATTAACTATGCTGGGGCTCCGGGTTGACTCTGCGGGTCACAAACAAAATCAGAGGTACGACTCCTGGGAAAGGTGGGCAGGATGCTTCCTGAGAGGCATGACAGTGGGGAGGGGACATCTAATGACTCTGGTGACTTGCCACACAACCCAGCCTCAGCTGAAGACTCAGAAAACTGACTCTCAACACACAGAGAGCTGACCCAGGCCCCAGGCATGGGTGTTCATACGCCCAGGGGCTTAAGTGCAACAGGAGCCAGCTCTGTCCTGTCCTGGGGACCATAACAACAGGTGAGCATGGCCTGCCATTCCTGCCTCGAAGCCAGACCCTCACGGCAGCCGCCCCCCAGTGCCCACAGGGATGGGGTGGCCACTGGCACTGAAGCATCTGTATCCCTGGCCAACAAGCGCCTGTGCCTGGTATGCCCCTTGGCCATGCCGCTGCCCTCTGCAGGGGTCTGCCATCTCCAACACAGCCCCTGCTGAGTGAAGCGTGCAGGGAACAATCACACTTCCTTTCTTTGCTGCAGCAGACATGCAGTTTTCAGCCTCCAGGCCAAGCTGAAATGCCTGATTCTCAGCCAATGGCCTTGGCTTGCTTGCTTTCTTATTCAAATATTCCTGTTTCCCAAGCCTTTCCCTTAAGATTCTCACTTCATTTCACCCACAGAGAAATGTCTCTGAGCCACAGCTTTGAAATCCTAGCCCTGGAGACTCCGCAGTAGAAACATGACCTGGAAATGTAGAAAGCCAGGAAGGAAACTGAACCCAGCTCTTGTTGTGGGACTGACCCCCATTGCTCCCCCAGGAGGAAGCTGAGGAACGGGAAGGTTCCTTGTCTCCCAGCCCCCACCCTGCCTAGCGGAGCCTCCTTGCTGTCTCCCATGGAGGCCAGTGAATGTGGGAGGTACCTGGGCGGGGCTACAGTCACTACCCTGGGCATCTTGGGTCCTTCTCCTCCGGCTTCCACCCACCCTGACCCCACGCTCACCTGGTAGGCAGCTTGTCTCATGAACTGCTTGGCCGGCTGCTTCCAGATGGCAGGCACCGTGATGACCCATCTGACATCAGAGTTCTCGAACTCCGAACCCGCCTGGTCACTTAGCTCCTGAAGCCAAGGGAAAGAAATGCAACAGGTCAAGTGGCAGCTGGTCCCTGGGGCAGCCTCCTGTAGCTTCACTGAATCCAGGCTTCCCGCCAAAGCTCTTCAGGAGCCAGTTTCAGGGCCCCCCCAAACTTATCAGCATCAGAGAGCAAAGATCTGTTTCCTGAATATTCAGCAAGGAGGGAGCTCTAGCCCCTTTCCCTCACTGAATGCGACCGTGGGCTGGAGAGAGGAGGATCAGAGGAAATCCCTTTGGCCACTTCCTAATCATGTGACTTTGGACAAGTGACAATCTCTCGGGCCTCAGTTTCCATATCTGTGCAGTGGGGATAATGCCAAGCTCCCAAGATTGTTGAGAGGATTGATGATTTATGCAGAGCTACAGTTACTGAGTGCTTAGCATGTATCTGCCACCTTATTAAGCACTTTGCATACCTTGTCTCTATTCATCCGGTGAAGAATCCTGTTAGAAAGGGATTCTCACTGTGCCCCTTTCCTACAAATGGGGATACTGAGACTTTGATATGCTCAGTACCTTTTTGACCACTGTACAGTTAGAAAGTAGCAGAGCCAAAATTGAGACTCAGAGTCTAGTCTATCGTACTATGTACGATAAATGAATGATAGTGTTGGTTGGTATCCTTGGGGAAGAGCTTGGTTTTTGGCTGTTGGTGTTATGTTCTACAGTTGGTTGAGCCATGATGGTTCTTGCTTGTCAGCATGTTTGCAAGGATGATTTGTGGGTGTACATAAATATGTGCTATGTACAGTTAAACACTTATAGTACTATATAATATTCACGTTGGCTAGCAGTAATATTCATGTTGGCTAGTAGTCTATCTTGATTCCGCAAAGGTCTGCGTTATGACATGTGGTCCCATAGCTAAACAGTGCCTGGTCCACAGTGATGCTTACCAGCTGGTGCCAGCTATCATCATTGTCATCTACCTTATGCAAGGCCAGCATTATCAGGGGAGTTTTCCCAACAGGAAGGGAAGGCTATGAATGATATGACCTCATCAAGAACCATGCGGCCCTTCACTTTTGGTTAAGGTTAAACCACATCACTGAGGCCCATGCTGATAAATGGGCTGAGCAGAAGCCTCAGAGGTTTCCACCTGGTTCGCACAGACAAAATATGTTGCTGGAGGACTTCTTAGACTCAGTATTCCCATCTGTGTTGGAGATCATAAAACTAACCCACAGCATTACTGGCAAGATTAAATGAAAACACATGAGGAATGTCTGGCCCAAAGACCTCTGATAAATGCTAGCTCTTTCCTTCCTTTCTTTTCCCCTTGCCACATTCACCAGACAAATGTGTAATCAAACCCAAACACACACCAAGGCACTTCTGTGTCTAAATCAGCTCTGGAGACAGAAGAAAGATTAATAGACTGATAGAAAAACAAACAAAAAGAATTCCTGACAGTGTCTCATTTTTCCTATTGTTTCAAACAGTTATCTTGGGTTTGGCTCGCCCTCTCTCTCCCCGAACTAACTTCCTCTTTGATCAGTAAGTGATTTTTTTTTTTTTTTGCCTTTACTTTTTCTAAAAATTTGTAATAAAAATGCTTCATGGTAAAAAATATACACACCATAAAATTCATCACCTTAACCATTTTTAAGTGCACAGTTCAGTAGTGTTAAGTACATTCAGTAAACTATTTTAAAACATCTTTCCAAAAACATCTCTGCTTTGGACCAATTTTTTATCATTATATTTTGTTTCCTCGCAGGTCTGCATTGGGTTTGAAAAAGCAGGTGAGGGTATGATGTGTGTCGGGAAGATTCTAAGCATGGTGCCCATTACCAGGCAGGCGATTTTAAACTCTTTAAAAGGAAAAGGGTCCAAAATACACACGATGGGCTTCCTTGAGCTGTCTGGAGAGTTTAGAGGAGCTGTCAGTTCCCCAGCGGGTAGGGAACAGCTTGGAAGGGAAAGGCGCCAGCATTCATTAATTGACTATCTCATGTGTCAAGCACTGTCACGGGCTTTCCTTCATGACCCACTGGGCGGCTTCATTTCTGTGACTCTCGGACATCCCACTTGAGTAGATATCCTGCCTTTGCTCATTCCGGCCAAGCAAGCCATAATCCCCTCCCTCCGACTCCAGCCAGCCCCTGGCAAGGTCTAGCTCCTCCTATACATCAAACAGCTTTTTCTCCTGGAATTTATTCATGGCGTGTTCCCTGCTGGGAGGAGCTACCTTTGAAAGAAAGGTGCCAGCAGGTTCCCTGGAGCCTCTCTGGCTGAGCTGAGAAGTTCACAAACCACCCACCCACATGGCCACTTGACCTTCTGGGGCCGTTCCCTCCACCTCCTCCCTCCCCTTCTGAGATGGGCTGCTCACTCCTTTCCTGCTGGCAAACTTGAAAGGCACCAACATCCTGGGCTTTCTGAGTCCTACATTTTCCCCGAGCCCCCATGGCTCCTCCTCCTAACTCAGGAGCCCCTGTGGGCTCTGTGCTCTGTGCTCCTTCGCCTGCCTCGGCACCCACAGACACATCCTCACGTGGCCTCCTGGGCCACCAAGTGTGGAGCGTGTCCCTCTGCAACCTTCGCTCTTCGGGCAGACCTGGGTCCACCTTGTTGTGCCCCTCCCCTTCTGCCCTTTTGCCGCCTGGAACAAAGGCGCTGACCCCTTCTCCAGTTCTAAGCAGGCTTCACGACGCTTGATGCTTGTCTCTGACTGTGGTCACCTTCCTGAACCAGTCCCTCCCTTCCCCCTCCCATGCCTCCTCCCCCGACCCCACAATGACCTTGCTGCCAGGCCCCTCCCTGCCCCTTGTCCCCTTACTGGTGGAATACTGTTTGCCCAGAACCCACTCCTTCCCAGCCTGCGGGCCCTCTTTCTTCTTGGTTGTCGCAGTCCTCCTCCTTGCTCCCCGAATGACCCCGTGGCTGTGTCTCAGAGCCTCCCTCTCTCCCTGCAAACAAACCTGCAGAATGAGTCGGCTGCCTCCACACCGCCCACCTCCACCCTGCAGGCTCTTGGGATTACTGGGGTCTCTCACTCTATGCTGTGCTCTGAATGTGTCCCCCAGAACTCATGTGTTGGAAATGTACTCCCAGTGCAACTGTGTTGGGTGGGTGGTGGGGCCTAATGGGAGGTGTTTATGTCTCCGGTCTCAGGAATGGATTTTTGTGCTATAAAAAGGGCTTGCGGCCGGGTGTGGTGGCTCACGCCTGTAATCCCAACACTCTGGGTGGTCAAAGTGGGTGGATCATGAGGTCAGGAGTTCGAGACTAGCCTTGCCAACGTAGTGAAACCCCATCTCTACTAAAAATACAAAAATTAGCCAGGCATGGTGGCACCCGCCTGTAGTCCCAGCTACTTGGGAGGCTGAGGTAGGGGAATTGCTTGAACCTGGGAGGCAGAGGTTGTGGTGAGCCGAGATCACGCCACTGCACTCCAGCCTGAGCAACAGAGCAAGACTCCGTTTAAAAAAAAAAAAAAGGCTTGCAGGTTTCAGGAGTGTGTGAGCTCTTTCACTCTTCTGCCTTCTGCCATGTGAGGAACAATGTTCCTTCCCCACATCCACATCCCCTGGCAAGAGGATGCTGCATTCAAGGCTCCATCTTAGAAGCAGAGACTGGGCCCTCATCAGACACCAAACCCACCAGCACCTTGATCTTGCACTTCCCAGTCTCCAGACTATCAGAAATAAATTTCTGGTTTTCATAAATTCCCAGTTTGTGATATTCTGTCACAGTGCCACAAAAATAGACTAAGACACTTGATATGGTGTGGCTGTACGGTCCCCACCCAAATCTCACCTTGAATTGTAATAATCCCACGTGTCAAGGGTGGGGCCAGGTGGAGATAGCTGAACCATGGGGGCGGTTTCCCCCATACTGTTCTTGCGATAGTGAATAAGTCTCACGAGATCTGATGGTTTTATAAAGGGGAGTTCCCCCGCACAAGCTCTCTTGCCTGCTGCCATATAAGACATTCCTTTGTTCTTCCTTCACCTTCCACCATGATTGTGAGGCCTCCCCAGGCATGTAGAACTGTAAGTCCATTAAACCTTTTCCTTTATAAATTACCCAGTCTCAAGTATGTCTTTATTAGCAGCATGCGAACAGACTAATACAACACTCCACTACTATCTCGGTGGCTCTGTCACTCATTCCCCCATTAGAAATCTTTTGAGGACTTCCCATTAACCAAGAAGTTCCTTGGCTTGGCATCCGCAGCTCTGCACTATCTTGTCCTGAGCTCACGGCATCCTGGCTTTATCCCGCAGCCTTAGTCTCCTTCCACCCCAACTGCTTTCTTCCCACAGCTGTTTGTCTGCTGCTTTCTTCCTTCTGAGCTGAGCCTGTGCCATTCCACCAGCTTGAAATACCCACCCTTCCAGCTGCTGCCTGTCAACCACTCCCCAACCTGCCCCGAATCCACCTCCTACAGGGAGCCTTCCATGACGCTCCCTGCTGGACAGAATCTCTGCCTCCCCCAGCACCCACAGTTACCCCCTCACCACTCTGACCCTGACCACACACTCCTGTATACTGAGTTGATTTATACACTGCCATGCTTGTATAGGATTTCACACATTAAAGGCACTCAAAAAACAGTTACTTGAATAGATGAAAGTAATACCATGTTCTCACTTCCTCTGTCTCCCTCTGACCCTATTTCTAGAATTCACCGAATTGCCTTTAGTGGTCACACAATACCAAATGCTTCTGAAGTTCCCAAATCTTTTTGGGTAAAGCTCAAAACATCAGGGCTCTTTAATCATCTGATCCCCACCTACTGGTCTCCAGGCCTGTGGGAGGAGACACGAGTGGACAGCCATATTCCACTTCAAAATTAGATGCTTCTGGCATTTCAGGCCATCATGACCACAGACCTTTGTGGGGGTGACCCAAGGGGGCTCACGCTATTAGCTTCTTCCATGGGGTCTGGGGGGACAGAGGAGGAGGGGGAGGAAGGGCGGAAACAGCAGCCACCATATACCTAGTGCCTACTATAGACCAAGCTCCAAGCGGGGTGCTGCATGCCCAGTCCCATTTGCTGTCAATCAGCCTGTGAGGTACAGTGATCCACTCCACTCTCCCGTTAGGAAAGTGGATCTTGGAAAGATTAAGTACCTTGACCAAAATGGTACAGCTGCTAAGTATGTTTCCTGCCTTTCTTTTGGTTTTACTGAGATATAATTTCCATACCACAAAATTCCCAGTTTTACAGTGTGTAATTCAGTGGGCTTTAGTGTATTCACAAGGTTGCACAACCAACCCCATTACCTAATTTCATCACCCCCCAAAGAAACTCATATCCTTCGGCAGTCGCTCCTATTCCCACTCCCCGCAGCCCCTGGCAGACAAAGCCTCTGCTTTCAGTTTCTGGGAAGGTGCCTGTTCTGGACATTTCATCCAAATGGAATCACACGGTATGCGGCTGTCTGTATCTGGCTTCTTTCACTTCACATGGCGTTTTCAAGGTTTCTCCATGTGGTAGGATGTAGCAGTAGCTCAGGCCTTGCTCTGGCTGAATAACATTCATTGTAAGATAGATCACATTTTGCTTCTCCAGTCATCAGCAGATGGGCATGTGGAGTTTTTCCGATTTTCGTCGTTGTGAATAATGCTGCTGTGCACATTCACGTATACGTGTGTTTGTGTGGACAGCATGTGGACTGCTTCCACTTTTCGTAGTTATGAATCATGTTGCTATGCACATTCATGTACGTGTGTGTGTGAACATCTGCTTTCATTTCTCTTAGGTATCTATCCAGGAGTGGAGCTGCTGGGTCCTACGGTAACTCTGCGCTTTACTTTTTTAGGAATTGCCAAACTGTTTTCCAAAGAGGCCACACCATTTTACATTCCCTCCAGCAGTGTGTGAGGGTTCATCCTGCTGTGTTGACTCCAAAGCCCACGCTCTCCCTCCAGGCTGTGCCTCCTACCCTGGCCAGCAGGTGCAGCAGCCCAAGACATGCAGCTGGCACGGGTGCCACTGCATAGCACACAGCTGGCTGGCCTCAACTATCGGTCCTACCTTCAGCGCCTGCTCCTTAAAGTACTGCAGGGCATAAGCAAAGATTTCGAGGGCTTTGACTTTCTTGCCATTTGCTGCCGTCAGGTCTGTATCCATGGTGAGGTCCTGGTAGGAGGAAGAGGAACAATAGTAAGAAGAGGACAAAGGAGAAACATGTCTTCTGGCTTTAGGGACTGCTCCAAGGGGACCTAGAGGATCCTGGTGAGCCACGTTTGTGTTCCCCCATGCTTAAAGAGGCAGACTAGGAGGGCGCATCCCCCAAAATGGGGGCTGGCAGCTGTGTCCCCTTACTGTGTTGGGGACAGCTCTGGCTGTCCCCTCCAGGCCCTGCCTTCACTGCTCCCTCCTCTCCCTCTCTCTCCTGGATCCTCTGGGAGCAGAGGTTTCAGGGGCAACAGTAGAAGTCAGGAAGAGAGAATAGGCAGCAGGTGCCACTCCCCATGCAATTTCCATACTATTTCCACATTCGAACACACACGGTCATGCTCAGGATCCCCTCCCGATGGAGGCCTAATCGTACCAACCCACTGCCATCCATGATGCTAAACAGACGAAGCTTTCATTCCCCATTATGCTGCCAACCAAGTCACCAAAATAGAAGAGCTTCTATTTTAAGGCTTGCCCTGTCTAATCCGCCAGGAGCTCAGCATCACTGCCTTCCTTTCTCCACCAAAAGTGAAAGCAGCTGCTGAGTGTGGTCCTAGAGAGAGGATGCTCTGCAGAGCCCAGATGCTGGTGGATGGAGGTCATTAAAAAATGATGAGAAAAGTCCCTATGGGGTAGGGATGAGCAGGGAGTGAGAGCAAAAATCAGGAGGAAGCCCCCAGGTCTCCTGAGCCAAAAAGCTCATTACTGCCAGGAAAAAAAAAAATCACTGGGGCCTCCAGATTGATCCAGGCTGGGTAATTATGCTTTGCCTTGGGAGTGAAAACGGGCATTGAGTTACTAAGCCAGCCACGTGGAGCCCGTCTGTGGCATCCTGACCTAGCTGCACTTGCTCTCTCCTCCCAGGCGGCTGCTTTCTGCTCCTGGTGCCCAGCAAACATACCCCAGCTTCGGGGCAGCAGCTCCCAGGCTTGGAAAGGTGGCAAAACACCAGGAAGCCATGGCTCTGAATTGAAAAAAATCCCTGTGCTTCCTTCCACCTGCCATCCTGATACTCAGCATCGAATCCCATTAGGCGAAACAGGCACAGTTCATTTCTAGCAGAACTCGGTCTGCACCACAGAAAGACAACCACGCCGATGAGCACAGAGCCTTGAAAGGCAGGGTGCTGGCTGCTGAATTTACCACTTATGTTTGCTTTGTCATCTGCAAGTGCTCAGCAGACAAATGAAAGCAATTTGAATAGGAGCTTGTACTTGACTAGAACTTAATCTGCACCAGGCACGGCTCTAAGAGCTTTACGTATTTTGATTCCTTTAATCCCTACAATATCCCCATCAGGAAGGCACTGCCATTGTCTCCATTAGACAGAGAAGATAAAACAAGGCAGGGAGAAGTTAAGTAACTTGGATTACATTTCTCAAAGGTACCAGTGGCCAGATTTAAACCCAGGCCATCTGGCCCTAGAGTCTATGATCTTAAACATTATCATCATCCTGCCTTTCTCAGCACTGAAAGTGAAGGAAACTTTATGGAATAAAATGCTTAACTCAAAAAAGTTCCGTCCTATCCCTATCCTTTTCTACGAAGCTTTGGGGTGGCAGGGGGTGCCTATTTGATGTAGGTGTCTTACGGAACACTGGCTTGCTGGGAGCGGAGGCCACCACTCTGGGAGTTGGACCTCCGATTATTGGGCACTTTGATGTCCTGAGCTCCCCTCCCCACATAGAGAACTGGATGTACCAGTTGCTCCTGGTTGTTACATCCAAACTGGTTAGTTAAGAGCTACTGCCCTGAGCTCCTCACATGTCCCTAGCCCCCAAGTGGATCCTTCATGATATGCGGATCTTTCAATAATCTAGAAACTAAAGGGGGAACTCCTGGCATGGCAGGAGGCCCCCAGCACCCTACTCCTCTAGTATAACCAGGGTCTACTCTGATAGGTCCATTTCTAAGACAAATGAGTTGTTAAATATTCAGAATGTCTCCCCGCCCACATGCACACTGGAAAGCATCGCATATTCCACAACAGCACTGTGTGCTCCAGGTTGTGTCTAAAATCAAGGTAAATGGACACTGATTTCTGCTTGGGAGAGACTGGAGGGCCCCCTGGGTTGCATCCCTTCCCCACCCCAAGGCTGGAGGAGCCTTGGTGCTCCATTGCGGGAGACCTGGGGCCAGGGCAGAGGCTCGCTCACCCCAGTGGTGTGCAGTTTCATCTTGAACTTCTCCAGGTACAGCCACTGCTTGGCCTCATTGGGATCCAGGTCGTGGTAAAAGTCCCTGGCGGCATACCCGAAGCTGTGGAACTTCCTCTCGGGAGTCAGCAAGATGGTGGTTGGCGTCTTCTGATTGGACACACCAGGATCACCTCCCTCCCATCGCCTGCCACCAACGGAAGCAGAAGTTATGGAGCCTTCTTTCAAAATCCCAGTTCAGGCAGCACAGATTTGAACACCTACTGTATGCATGAGTGTCAGTGATGTGGGTGCCCAGACGCACTCTGGTTCAGCTGAATGCCCAGCTACTAGAGACACAACTTCAGTCAAAAAGGAGATGAACTGGGCAAGTGCAAAGTTCTTGCTCAGTAACAAGCTCTGCCTTAATCTTTCACTCCATGTTTACTGAGCATCTACTCTAAGCATCTACCTGTGTACCAGGTGCTGGCATGAAACTTTTATGTTTGTGTCTTCAAATAATTCACAATTTGCTAGGCACTGTGTTTTCAATTTGCATATACTGCTAGCTTGAATCCTCTTTGAAACACGGTAGGTATAAACAAATGCATAATTACCTGCCTTATGAGATGCAAATAAGGGGCCCAAGGTGCCAGCTGGTGGGGCAGAGGAAAGAATCCAGGATTGGGGGGAGAACTGAAGAAGAGACAGACAACTGGATCTCAAAGGAGGGAAGGATGCTCCAGGCTGCTCAGAGGTGGGCCAGCCGGGGCATTCGTGGGGAACGTGAAGTGATTGCGTTGGTTGGAGAGAGTGTGTGGGTGGGAAGAGTGACTGTGAAAATGGGAAGCGTGAGAAACATGATTGGGAAAGCGGCTGGAATCAGGCTGAGGAGAACCCTGGGGACTTAGACATTTACTCTGTGAACAATGGGAAGCCACTAAAGCTCTTAGAGCAGGGGCATGACAGAATCAGAGTTGCTGTTCATAAGGGCAAACTGGGCTAAATGGAGGGGAAGGGAAACCAGGAGGCTCAGACCTATCCTGGAGCAGAGGTGAAAGAACCATAGAAACAGAGATCTCAGCACTCTGGGGAACTGAGGTGGGAGATCACATGAGCTATGATCATATCACTGCACTCCAGCCTGGGCAACATAGCAAGACCCCATTTCTAAAAAGAAATGAGAGAGAGAGAGGTTGCAGTGAGAGCAAGGGAAGGGTGAAGGGGAAGACAGGAAACTCAATGCATTTGCTCACCTTTCGGTCCACTGCAGAGAGGCCAGGGCCACCAAGAGGCCAAGCTGTTCCCTGCCCAACCAGGTCCTGGCTCCTGGCCTGCCGCTGGACACATGACCCCATGCACAGCCCGTGCACCCTCAGGTGGAGATGCAGTGCAGGAGGGAAAATGAGCCACTTTCCTCCCCCACTGGGGAGGTGGCCACGCTCCCAGCTGAGCCCGGACCTGCTCCCGACCCCACGTCATTAAGCATCAGTAGGACCATGTCAGTCTAGATGGAGCTCTGGCCTCCACTGAAATTTGTCACTCAAATGGGTCTGGAATCATCCCTGACCAATTTCCTTGTCAAGCTCCGTCAGGATGCTGCTCCTACCCGAGGAGCCAAAGTCCCCGAGGTGACCGCACTGAGACACAGGGATGGTCCCGATGCCAGGAAGCTGCTCCACACACTGCCCTTCACAAATGGAATTGTCATTAATATTAACAGTGGCATTGTCAGCAGAGAATGACCCCATGAGCTTTTTCCCTTCAAATTTGTATTCCTTCATTCCTACTTAGTACAAAAAAAAGTTAACTTTCTCACTTATAACATGTCGTATTAGCATGATTATGCTAATATGATTGAAATAAAATTCAGGGAGACCCAACCAACCTCCCTCCAAAATCTCTCCCATGACTAAGGTATCACCCCTAGAGGCCCTGAACTATGGTGGTGCTTCGTTAAGTACCACTCCCCAAGCAAGTTCAAAGTTATTTCCATTCCTTCTTTTCTGTTATCACTGCATGACTATTCTGTGGAAATAACATTTCTTAGAACAACTACATAGAAGCTGATAAAAACTGATTCTAGCCTTTAATGGCGTATTCTTCTCCACTGGGATTTTTCATCTTGGGGGTCAGTGGCGGCAGCACAGACCCTCACAGCATCTATCTGGCTAAATGGAGATTCCTGGTGACAACTGAACATCAAGGGCGATGCTGTCATCAGAGTTGGCTATAGAACCAGCTTTTCATCATTTCCTGATGACATGACACCCAAGAGTCTCTGTACCCTCTTAGGACAACAGCTTCAGCCTGAGCCACATCTGGTTTTCAAGAGGAAGGATGAGACTTAAACCAAGATTGGGGTGGGAGTCACTTTTATTATGAGTTGTGCTTTCCACACCCCTTTATAAAAATTCCTAAAATACAAACAGCTGGGTGTGGTGGTATGCACCTGTAGTCCCAGCCACTTGGGAGGCCAAGGCAGGAAGATCGCTTCAGCCCTGGAGTTTGAGGCTGCAGAGAGCCATGATCACACCACGGCGTTCCAGCCTGGGCAAAAGAGCAAGAACCTGTCTCTTAAAAAAAAATAGTAACAACAACAACAAAACTAAAAAATCTTAATCTAGGAGCAATACTAAATTCCACAATTACTCAGTTGAAGGAACTGCAAGCCAATTACAATGTATCTTCAGAGTCATCCCTTGGAATTGAAAAATTGGGGTGATAAATCCTGGGCTTCCAAAGATTTGAGGGGTTGCGCCCTGCAAGAAGATTTGAGGGGTTGCACCCTGCAAGAAGGTCATGGGTCAAGCCTGGGATCCCTGGGGGCCTGCAGGGTGCTGGGTGTGTGGGGAAGGGAAAGGGGCATCCCGGCACAGAGCGCATCCCAGGAGACCCAGGGCAACTTTGCCTATGGGGCCACTTGGCTGATATTTGCCTCATGCTGCTTTCCCTCCAGCAGGTGCTTTCTGCCTCTGGCTACCAACACCCCAACACTTCTCTTCACTTGAAACGACCAGCACCTTACCTGTTTTCATTTTACTACACGTTAAGCACTTAATAGACAATCTCATTTCATTTGCCCACACACCTTGTAAGGGAGGTATTGTCAGGATCCCCATTTCACAGATGAGGAAACTGGGGTTTACCAGGTTCAGCAATTGCCTAAAGTCACACAGTAAGTGGCCAAGCTGGCACCTGGATCCCTCCATCACAGACACCACAGGTCTGCGCCTTTCACCCAGGTCAGAAGCTGAATTCATCCGGGCCAGGCTTCAAACATATTGCCCAGGCCCCTCCCCAGACCAACTAAATCAGAATCAAACCAGGAGCCTAGAGCCCAGAGATGAGAAATGGCTTGTCCCAAGCGGCATGGTGAGCTTGAGCCGAGCTGGAACAGAATCCAGGGCCCTCTTCCTAAGTGCCAATCACTGGCTCATTGCCTGGAGTCTCCACAGGTGCAGTGGCTGGCACCAGCCACGTGGCCCTCCCACCCACAGCACTCACCTCATCACATGGATGCATTCCGGCTCCTTGGTGAAGCTGTAGGCATAGCCACTGGATGTGGTCCCAAAGTCGATGGCCACCACCACAAGAAATGCCTGCTGTTCTGAGACGTTGGAGTCAGTGTCGTTCTGCAGATATACAGTGAGGCATGGGGGGTGTGGAGGGGTGGGCCTGGCTTTCAGGAAGACACCCCTGGGGAGTTTCACCTTGCCTAGCTGTGAACCCCCTGCAGACAGAAGGACATTCGATATTCCAGCTCAAGTCTCCCACCTGGAGAGCCCTGGGGAGAGGCAGCCCACCCTGGGCCCCCGCCTGAGTGGCTCGGGGAGAAATGGGGGCACCCCTGAGACGAGGGCCAGGCTGACTGGACAAAGCCTGCAGCTCGCCCACTCCTCTCTATCGACCGTGCGTGCACACGGCTGATTACAGAAATTCTATCAACAGGGCTGCTTGCCCCGTAGTTCCTGAGCAGATACAATCTTCTTCCAAGCCCCGCTGCCTTCCGCAAGACCCTGTGCAGACCTCTGGCCACTGCCAGGAGCATTTCGCTAGCTGTGCCCTCCGTACACCCAGGTGACTGCTCTATCTGTGCTGGCATTTCGTGCATGTGAGCAGGGCTGGGCATCCCAGGACCATGCCCGATCCCACCAGGCCAGCCACATGCCCCACTGTGGCTGCCAGGGCCCAGGGCCTCGCCTTATCTAAGTCATCTTGGTCAGGCCATTTCAGGTTTCCAAGCTTTTCTCTCTTTTTTTTTTTTAAGCAGTTTACACTTTTTTTTTTTTTAACTCCCACAGAACTCCAAATTATACCACCAACAAATGTTGGAGGGGAGGGGTAAGGATGCCACCCGCCTGAGCTCTCCTCACACTGCTCCCCTCCCCCACAGCCCTGAAGCTCTTACAGGACAACTTCAGGGTGTAAAGCTTGAAAACCACAGAACCTGGCCCTAAGGAACCAATCCTCCCAGTTGGCCCAGGGCTGAAGGAGTTCCCAGGGTGCAGCACTTGCAGTGTAAAGGCCAGACAGTTCCAGGCAACCAGGACAGGCTGGCACCCCTACCTAGCGGTGACTCCGCAGTTCTCGGGTCTTCTTTGTGCACCTGCACAGCTCACGCAAAGCTGCCCTGTCTTCTGGGCACTCACTCGGGTTGGCTGCCTGTGCATCTATGTGCACACCTCTCTTAACAGCTGTCCCCTAACATCCATCTTTCCTCATACAGGGCAGGGTGGGAGCAACGGCCCCCCTCAATGCATATGAAGCCCTGCTCAGGGCTTCTCTACCAGGCAAGCTGTTGCAGAAGCGAATATACTGCCAGGGGCTTTTGGACACTGCAGACAACCGCAGTCAACAGAGCCCATATATTTCACCGATTCACTAGCCAGAGTCAGCGGCTTCCTTTCAAGAGGACGCCTCACAGGCTCTGACCCTGAATCTTTAAAGGGCTGCTCCCATCTCACCTACTTCTGTGACCCACCCGGGCCCCTGCTCCAGAAGCACTAGCCACAGCACAGAAAGCCTTCCCAGGCCCGGAGTCGGGGAAGGGGCTTGGCAGGGCTCCTGTGGCCAGGACCAGGTCAATTTAATCTCTAACCAGTGAATGTGAGAGGCTGTCCAGCAGCCTGAACTGTGAGATCAGACCCAGAATGCAAAGGAAGTCAGTATGCACATGCACGCACGCACACGTGGACACACACACACACAATTTCTTACCACAATATGGGAGGGGGACAGAGGCGTTATTCCTGTGTCCCCAAGACTCCGGGCTGGAGATGAATATGCAGATGTGGGAGCCGTTTCTGAAAGGAAAAACAGAATCGCCTCCTTATAAGTGGCATGGGCTGACCCAGGGGGAAGAAATGAGGGCTGCATGGCCTTACTCCTCCAGGTACTGCAGCCTCTGCAAAGCCAGCTCACGAAATGGGCAAGGCCCAGTCCCAGCCAGAAAGGCAGGATCATCTGTTCCAGCACCCCCTTGCATTTGATATTTAGAACTTGACCAAATGAGATGTTCCTTTCCTCCCAGTCGCCACCAGGCCTCTCACTCTGTGCCACTCAGCCCAGCGTAGTTGGAGATGCTGGTCAGTGCCCGAAAGCCCCAGCTCCTGGCTGTGTTGTCTGTGGGGCCAGAGGCTAGGCTGCATGATGGACTCACAGGACCTGTAGCCACCTGAAATTATGTCAAATTTTTGTGTGCATTTTCTTGGAAGAGTATCTACAGCCCTCGGGTTCCCAAAGGGGTGAGGGGTACCTCCCTCCCAAGGAAGAGCAACCCCTATCCTAGGAACGTTGGATGTGATGAAGCTTCAGAAAGAGCGTCCTTGCCTAGTAGATGCACCAGCTCCTCCCTCCCTCCCCCTGCCAGGGCATGTGAATTCATCTCTCTTCAGTGATACCGAAGGTTTGGGACCTTTTTCAATCATAAAAACCACAGCAAAAAGGCAGACAGATCAGCATTTCTAGCCCCTGCAGATGGGATGCAACAGCCACGAGGTCAAACAGGGGAAGGGCCAGCAGCTATGCAGCAGGAACACCATTTTGTCTGTCCCCTGCACTCACCATCATTCAGGCCTAGCATTTTTCTGAAGTCTTCCCAGAGGCCAGTGGCTCTGCCCCAGGAATGGGCCCCCCCCGGGAGAAAACACACTCTCCCTGGCCAGCATTGGAAAGCGCTACTGTACCCTCCCTGCCTGCTGCCTAGGGCTGGCAGCGCACAGAGAAGCTGAGTGAGGATTGTGTGCTCCCACCGCAGAGACGAAGGCCGGGCACTGGGCACCCGCAGCGACCCAGCACCACCCTCGGTGCTCTGCATATCCTGCTCCATTTAGTACATACGTCCTGAAACCTGCTAGGAAGAAATGGGTAATTTTCCAAGGCAATACTTGTGGTCAAGGAAACCAGAAGGTTTGAGGTGCCTGAGAAGAGCCTGTCTGCTTCTAGGGGAGCAGGTGGAATGGTTCCATCTGCCTCTTCTGCTAAATCACTTTGGGTTAATCCCAGGCTCTTGCTGATTTCTTTTTCTACTTGATGAGAACTCAGGCAGCATCATTACAGTGGGTACCAGACAGGCTGTAGGAATGAAATGAATCATGCAAGAGGGAATGTGAAGCCTCAAATCTGCACAGCCACCTCCCACTCTCTGCAAGCTCACAGCCTCTCTCCTCCTGATGAGGCTCAATTCCTATCTTGGGGGGAGAGAGAGGCACAGTCCAGTAATTACAGAGGCAAAATCCAACTTGCTGGGTAAAGGACTTGAATAGACGTTTCTCCAAAGAAAATACACAAAAGATACATCAACAAGTATATGAAAAGATGTTCAACATCATTAGTCTATAGAGAAATGCAAATCAAAACCAGTGAGACATGGCTTCACACTGACTAAGATGGCTATAGTTTTTTAAGAAAGGAAAATAACAAGTGTGTCAAGGATGTGAAGAAATTGGAATCCTTGTGCATTGCTATTGGGAACGTAAAACGGGACAACTGCTGTGGGAAAGAGTCTGGCAGTTCCTCAAAAAGCCAAGTACAGAATTACCATATGACCAGCAATTCCATTCCTAGGTATCTACCCAAAAAACTGAAAACAGGGACTCAAGGAGGTACTTTTATGCAAATGTTCATGCAGTATTATTCACAATAACAGAAAGGTGGAAACACTTCAAGTGTCCAACAACAGAAAAAGGGATAGGCTGGGTGCGGTGGCTCACGCCTATAAACCCAGCACTTTGGGAGGGCAAGATGGGCAGATCACTTGAGGTCAGGAGCTCAAGACCAGCCTGGCCAACATGGTGAAACCCCATCTCTATTTAAAAATACAAAAATTAGCCAGGCGTGGTGGCATGTGCCTATAGTCCCAGCTACTCGGAAGGCTGAGACAGGAGAATCACTTGAACCCAGAAGGCAGAGGTTGCAGTGAGCTGAGACTGTGCCGCTGTACTCCAGCCTAGTGACACAGCAAGACTCCATCTCAAAAAAAAAAAAAAAAAAAAAAGATGAAGGGATAAACAAAATGTGGTATATCCATACAATGGAATAGTATTTCATTGTAAAAAGGAAGGACATTCTTATACATGCTACAACATGCGTGAACCTAGAAAATACGCTAAGTAAAACACATGGATGCAAAAGGACAAATATTGTATCATTCCACTTACAGGAAATCTCCAGAATAGGCAAATTCATAGAGACAGAAAGTAGATTAGAGGTGACCAGGGGTGGGAGGGAGGGAGAAATGGAGAGTTCTTGCTTAATGAGTACAGAATTTCTCTTTGGGGTAATAAAAAGTTTTGGAAATAGTGGTGATGGTTGCACAACATTTGTAATATAATTCATGCCACTGAATGGTACACTTAAAATGGCTTAAATGGCAAATTTTATATTATACATACTTTTTTAAAAAACTTTATTGAAAAGTTTAAATCAACTTGCTCATCTGGGAAGGGAAGCTATTTCTGATTTCTATTAGCATCCATGACTAACAGAATTGCTATTAGCCGTGGGTGCTAATTGCTCTTGAAAAGAGAATGGAGAAGTCAGCTCCATTTCTAGACCAGCCCGCTGAACTCCCCATCTTTGCTAATCTCCTAGCACAAGGGAACCCCTTCCATGAATGCAGGGGGATCTCTGCCTCCCCACTAGGGGTTCCAGCCAGATGGTCCTTCCACCTGTTGGTGAGAGGTCCTTCCTGCCCACAGCCCTTGGGCAGCCTGCAGAGAAATGCCATCAGCACCAGGAGCCACCCTCTCCACCTGCTACCTGGAAGGCCTGCGGCCGTGTGTCCACATTTGCACAGACGGTCCTGAAAGAAACCAAATGTCTAATTGCCCAGAAAATCTGGTGTTGGCAATTAGCAAACAAGCTATTATCTGCAGACAAACCATCCACCCCGCTGCTGCTTGGTTCTAATTATCCCATCACTCAGCCCTTCTCAGAGCCCTGGTCTTCTCACTGATTTGCAAAACAGCCAAGGTTGGGCCACACATGGAACACATTGGGTCCCAGGGGACTCTAGGATACTTTGAGGCCAAAAGGCAAAGATTTTTTGGTTCTCCTGTACCTCCCCCCAACCCCCACGGCAACTGGGCCAGTATTAAACAAATCATTTGACTTGCTGATCACCCAGCCAGGCCTAGAGGCAGCTGAACTTCACGAACTTTTTCCATCAGAAGTTAAAATTCAGCTACACTGTGCAATGATTGAAAACTGATCTGCACAGAAGGTATGGAGGAGTAACCCACATCTGTGTATCTGTGTATTCCAAATCAAAGATAATTCACCAGCGAATGTCCATCAGCACAGCCCAGAAATACACACAGCCAGTAGAGACACGCTGCCATTTCTCTACTTCACTACTTAGGATGTCAAAGTGGTGCTCAAAACTTCTCAGGAGAAAAACAATGGAAAAGCCTGTCTTACCCCCTGAGGAAAATGGGGAGTTTAATTCTGATGTGTCCCAACAAGGCTTGAGATCTTTCATTCAGTAGGTAAATGATTAGAAATAAAATACAAAGAGTCGACAGAATATTATCTATTAATCTATGCATATCAGACAGATGAAAGCTAACGGACAGCAGGAGAGAACTGATGTATGTAATGCCCTATACATACCAAGGGTAGGCTGTGTGTCCTGGCCATCAATTATGCAGAGGCCATTATCCACAGTAAGGAATCTCAAATGCCATTAAGTGTGGCCCTGCCTCCGCTGCTTCTATAAAGCTAATACAACAACATCTCCCTTGGGACCACTCTCACCCAGGGAATAGTCCAGTTCGGTCCCCACGGGTTGACTCGGACACACTAGGAACAGAAGAGAAAGGCTAAGTCAACACCTCGACACAAACAGAGTTTCTTAGAGTCGAGGCTTAGAAGAAAGAAAGGAAGCTGAAGAAAAGAAAATCCAGACCCTTCTGTGGAGGTAGAGAAGGAAGACTGCTAAAAGACAGGTTAAAGAAAAACGCTCTATCAAGAAATGTGATCAAGGGCAGAGCTAAAGGAGCTAGGAGTTTTAAGAAATACCTACTGCACTGTTTCAAGTAGATTAAATAAAGGCCTACTCAAAGCATCTTCCACTTCGAGCACTGAGTTACTCTGAAATCCCATAATACAGAAAGATTCGATGTCTTCACATCAAGGAATCAGAGAAACACTGACTTTTTTTTTTTTTTTTTTTTTGACGGAGTCTCGCTGTGTTGCCCAGGCTGGAGTGCAGGAAGGCGATCTCAGCTCACTGCAAGCTCCGCCTCCCAGGTTCCACTATTCCCCTGCCTCAGCCTCCTGAGTAGCTGGGACTACAGGCACCTGCCAACACAGCCGGCTAATTTTATTTCTTTATTTATTTGTCTGTTTGTTTGTTTATTTAATTTTTAGTAGAGATGGGGTTTCACCATGTTAGCCAGGATGGTCTCGATCTCCTGACCTTGTGATCCGCCCACCTTGGCCTCCCAAAGTGCTGGGATTACAGGCGTGAGCCACCATGCCTGGCTATCACTGACCCTTTCAGGAGTGCAAACTACCAGCCACAAAACCATAGTTAAGCGAAGGGGGAAGAGATCTTTCTGGGGAACAGGCCTTTCTGGAAAACAAACAGAAGAGCTTTCTGGGGAACAAACAAAAATTAATTATCATGTCTCCTTTGCTATTAGTTATGTATTAGATAATTTAACATCACTTCAGTCTTGTAGAGCTAGTGTGCAGATGATCTTTTTTAACTGTAGTGAACATAAAACTAAGGTGATGAGGGTGCTTATAGATTCACTCTTAAACCTGGAACATGCCACCCCAACACATTAAACAATTTTTGCCAAAAAGAGGGATATATAAAGAAATGAAAATATTTTTGCAGCAATGTAGAGGAAAAATAAACAAAAGTATCAAATCCTGGCCAAAAAGTCTCCTGCCCCAGGATTTCTTACAACCCTAAACCAGGCAATTGAGGAGGAACTAGTTTAGCTTGTTGGGTTAATCCTCATCGCTGGTCTTAATGGCATAAGGATTAAAATGCAGGCTTCATCTGGGTTCCCGCTGTAAAATGCAACACATATAAAATTCAGACACATTTTTATGTGCTCCCAGCTCTAATGGCTTTAATCAAAGCAGATGTTCTTAAAATAAAAAATAGTCTTGATAAGAGAACCTCAAAGAGAGCCATAATTCATGAACGTGCTTGCTGTTCTCCTCTGCCAAAGACATTAGTCAGCAAATGGCCGTAAGCAGAATCGTAGACTCTCTGAGCTACGTAAGATCAATTCTGCTCCATAAATACAACATGTTTAAAGATGAAGACAGAACCATAGGGCTGACTTTATTCTACAAGGTTCCAGGCTCCGAGGAAATGTGACAGGTGGTCTCAACAATAGTGACATGCTAGTTTCTCCAAACAGTCCTCCTTGTTAGCTTTCGGATTTATGTATCCATCAAATAAATGCCCAATTTCAAAAGGAGTTTTAAGGTGTGGTACTTATGATTTTAAAAAATACAACATATATATATGTATTTTTTCATTTCTTTTTCCCTGCTGGCTGTCAGATGACAGGCCTTTGCTGACGATTGCCTAAAATCAGGCTATTTGAAAAAGAGCTCTCTCTCATTCTCTCCTTATATGCCTGCCTGCAGTGTCATCTTTGAACACTGATCAGCTCAAGGTCATATGTAGGTTACTGGCAAATATCTTTTCAGAAGGAAAATAAAAAATCTTTTATTACCCTATAACAGGCTTCATGGCTAGCTGAACTAATGCATTATTACCGTAAACTGAACTTCCATTTCAGTAAATAATTTATGGGCTGTTTTTAATCACCATGGTGGATGTCCGGAGTAAATGGAAATTTTATTGGCATGAACCAGGAGACCCTCTCACTACAAAGAACTCTGAGTGTAAAATAACCACTTTGCAAATGCTAAATAATAATTATGGAAATGAGCATTTACCATGGCAGAGACCATAGCATCAAGCCCAGGCCAAGTTGGGGGCAGCACCAGGCCCATCCTGACACGGGGTAGCATCTTCTTGTTACCCCTCCTACCTCCCTGAATAGTCCAAGAGATGAGATGCCCCAGGGAGAGCGAGCTGGGGCAGCTGAGTTTCCCAAGACAGGAAAAGCCCCGACTCTGCAATCCCAGACTGTCAGTGGGGTGGATCACAGTCTCTCTCCTAACTGCAGGTTCCTGCACTGGTTCCTGGGCCTCCAATTGTGTCTCTACACATCCAGGCAACTGCTGGGAGAGGTGAAGACACACTTGCTTGACCAACAGTTTTACTGCTAATTTTCATGAACTATACTCCGCAACCTCGCAGCCCTGCCCTCCAGCATCCAGCATTTGGAGAGGCTCTACCAGATCACCCTACACCCTACATGGCACTAAGATGTTTCTGTCCTCCGGGCTTCTCTCCCACGGACTCTGCTTGTTGGGGCAGGGCCAAGTCTTACTTCGTCTCTAATTCCTTAGCTCCTGACATGTCACAGGCACTCAATGTTGGATGGATGGATGGATGGACGGATGGATGGATGGACGGATGGATGGATGGATGGATGGATGGACGGGTGGGTGAGTGGATGGATTTTTTATGTGTGCCCAAAAGTGGACTCAGTGACTATCTACAGACTACGAGGGCCAGTGAGTTCTTTCCCAACTGAGGCATCACCTCTCTTGAGTTGGGATATTAGTAACACACATGCCATGCTGAGTGACCTCCAACAATGTGGGATCAGCTCTCAAACCACCCAGGTCTGCCTCTCTCCTCAGATACCCCTTTTG